AGTTTAGGTATACAGGCAAAATGTATTACGTTTTGAAATTAAAAACCTGATTTTCTCAGAATGAAAAAAAATTGACATTGATCTTTTTTCCCCGCAGCTCTTTAAGTATAATATTACTCAGTGTGTTTAATTAATTTTTAAAAAAGAAACAAAAAAAGGTTACCTTAAACAATGATAAAATTAAACTTCAAAAAAATTCTATACACTTAATGTCTTCATTTTAACGTCGTGTTCTTGTGACCTATACGCCAGGCATACATTAAAATCATAAACTTAATATTAAAGATTAACTTCTTGTTTTTATGACGTATGCGCTACATACGAATAATTGCGATACTTATGTACATATTATATGTTAATCGTTTTCATAAATTGTGCCGAATGAGTTAGAAAGACCTTGAAAAAGAACAATGACTTTTACTTCTTTTTAAAATTGTATGTATAAATGAAAAATAAACCTTCCATTATTATTGCCTGGCATGTCATGATTATTGCTAATAATATTACAACAACATCAATGTTAATACCAACGCTTGCCGGTCAAGGCTGTATGAGTACTGCTCTATAGCCGTAGGGTTTCAAGCAGACTCACTTGTTATAGTTACATAAAAAGTGTAACACCCGTTTTTGTAGTAAGACCCAATTGACAAGCGAATGCCGTAAATTATTTATAAATTTAATTAAAAAGCGATTAAAGGTACAAAATCCGTCAATCTATAGGTAATTCTCGAAAAAAAATTATGTAATATTAATATTTTTTACTTCAACGTTGAGTCGGAATATATATTTTTCTTTTTTCGTTGTTCTTTAATATTTTTTTTCTGATTAAAACTACCGAATAATTAAAATATTCGTAGAAAAAAAAATACAAAGCCCATAATTTTGTTTTAAATACGTATTTAAATATTCAATAATAGTTTATGGGAAATAATTCTGTTTTTGTGGTAAAAATAAAAATATGAAAACCGTTTATCGTGACACGTCCGTATTGTAATACGTGGTGCACATTCAATTTTTTGTCAATATAATAAAAAAATGAACAGAACAAAACAAAACGGTTTTAAAAAGTCCAGCAGAAATGCTTTTGAAAGTTCGGTAAATAACGAGGGTTATCCCGCGATTATTTAGCACAGACCGAAGGATACGCCACGATTGATCGTGCCGCATTAACACGTCCTGATAAATCACCGACTACTTGGCCGTTACTGAAATGGTGGACCGTGTGTTCTCTTCGCCGTTATTTTCCACAATTCTATTATTTTTTTTTTTATGTTCAATTTTTCATCGATTTCGCCAATAATTGGAATCCTTTTAATTGATAGTATAAATTGGTTCCTTTCCCAATTTGTAGATTAGCTTTTATATCAAGCAACGACCTACTACGGCGTTCGAACTGCTAAAACTTCTAAACTTGCATCTCTTTCGACCAGTCAACAAACTTATGCGCCTATAATATGAACGTCTCTAACCACTCGAATCCCCTATAATAACTAAGCTATCATTTCCACAACACCTGGCAATCCTCCTCAACGCTTAAACCAAAATTGGCCACAAGATCTCCTCAGCATGTACAAAAAATAAATAAAGTTTTATTTTTAATTATTTAATCTTTTAATTTTTCAATTGGAAGTAGTGTCGATGGACGCCTCCCTTCTTACTTGTCGTTGTATTTAGTTTCTAAAAAGCTTATTTACTAATTCTACTTTTTTTTTTGTATATAGAGTGTAAATTTTTCTTTTTTTATAATTAGTATACAGTATATAGTATACAGACTAATGACGACGCGTTAACGGAATTTGCTTTCTTAGATATAGTGTATTAGCTTATGTAAAATCTAAGTTATTACACAAAAAGCATACATAGTATAACACCCCCCCCCCATCCTCTAAACAGTGAAAATGGAGTTGGGTAATCGTGAACTATAATTATAATTTGTTTACAATCTATAGATTTATTACCTATTTTGAATGAAATGCGCGTGGAATGATGTGAATCGTGAATGACTTATCTGAGTATGTCAGGTACACCAAGAACAGTATTTTATTTCGCTAATACTCAAATAACGAGTTTTATGAAATCTAGACTACTCCGAGTGAACTGCTAAAGCCTAAATAACTTGTTTTTGTCTGGCCTTGAACGGTATAGTAGTATGTTACGTTGTTACATAATTGGACGGATCTATTTTTTTTTAATCATTACAAATGCACTGATTAAAAAAAAATAAAAATTGGTTTATATACACACATTAATTATAGGGAGGTAACAATATTGTTTACTGCTAGGTTAATTGCCCTTGTACATTTGATAACTGTCTCGATGAAAAGTAATAAGACAAAGGTTATGTGCGTAAAACCATATCAACTGAAACGGTCACATGTCTGTATGCGAGTTCAAAAGGCTACAAGTTTTTGTACTTATCCGATTGACATTCGGCCTAAAACGTAGCAAGCTCTTTAAACTCCAAAGCCGGTGGTTTTCATTACAATTCTACAGTGTAGATACGACGTATAATACTTACAAAGCTGGTCCCTGTGGATTTTTGATCTGTTATGACACAGTATAAAATAAGTACCTACTTAATAAAGTGTACAGTACACTATATTATATTATATTTTGTAGTCTATTTTATTTCAAAAGCGGTTTGCTACCAACGAAATCGGTAGTACTGAATAAAAGCCGAAAGTAAATTGGTATGATATGCGTTTACTGCGAAGCGTTTTGAGTGTTTTGAGAATTTTGTATTATAATCGCGCATCGGATTTCGAGAAGATCCGCCGAGTTTCGAGCGCAAGTAACAACATTTTAAACAAAACTATTGTCGACATTTAAACTTAATATCGTATTGTTCGTTGAAATATTTATTATTTAAGCACTGGATGTGCATCGATAACGCAACGTACCTTCCTATACCCTCGAAGACTGATCTTCGGACGGAACGAAAACAATTGTTTTATTTTTTTTCTTACCGTCGAGACTCGAGGCGGTTTTCATCGAATCCGGACACGGCACGTGGGTCTCAAGTTGTATTATTTCAATGTATATTGTAATACATGTACATATATTCTTCAACAACAACCGTCGAGTATTACCGAAAATAAGGATAAACAGTTTTGATTGTGTACGAGGAGTATAAGAACAAAACGTTATCCGGGCGCATTATGCAAATGGCCGTTGACGACCGGTCGAAATATTATTTGGAAAACGCCGTTATACGCGCATAATGTATACATTCTACATAGATGTACGAAGAAATAGCGCCAGTGTGTTCATCCGGTATGACGCTAAAGCAACGAGTGACTTTTAAACGTTATTTTTATTTCGATAGTCCCTCCGAGACCCGTACACACCGGCCGGTATATGGATCGTTTTGTGCACAACCCGAGTATAAGAAAAGACATATCCCCCTCCGGCGAGCAAATATTTACATTTTTTTTTTTTTGTACTCTTGGGAAATTCTAGAGGGTGGCAATAAAATAACAATAGTCGGAGACGGGGTCAATGCTGCGGCGGGTCCTTAGGAAAATTCGAATGCATAAAAGCGCGCCGGACCACGGTACCGGGAAAAATTTCCCTTGTAGGGTGGGTGGGAGGTGAGGGCCAAACGTAACGGTCCCAATAATCTCTTTATTAGGATTTCGAGCGATACATTTTTGTTCGGCCAATGCGGACATACCGCATATTATACGGTCAACAGTTTATACGGAAACGCAAAATGTATTATCAAAAATGTACACGAGCCAAAACAGTGTCGTCTCCGGTACACAATAGAAGGCGCCGGTAAAGGGTTAAAGGTCTCCGATTACACACAATAGGCGTGAAACGATTATGCGCGTACATAATATAATACAACGTGTGCACCTACCTTCCTACTACAACGCGATGGCACGGACAAACAGAACAAAATCAACGTTAAGTCGCCTTTTTGTCGTTTAATCACAAAACCTTAAAAATATTTTAACGGCTGTTACGTACAACAGTGGGGTTTTTAATTTCAATTTAGCAATTTAAACAAATTTGATGCAAGTTAATTTAATTTTTATACTGTTGAAATGTAGTATTTAGTATGCAATATATAGTGCAACAATCTGTATCAGTTGTTCTAATAATTTTTAGAGAAGTAATACTTATATGAGGTGAACAATTATGGCATTGCAACTATGTGCATTGTGCAACATAATAATATATGTTTTAGCTACTAAATCGTTTAAATAGTCAAACGCGTGTACGTTACGTGTGAACAATTTCACGTTTGATTTGTTTCATATTTGTATTGTGCGACTATTAGAATCATTCAATAACGTCAAGAAGATAAATCCGGTTTAAACAATTGTTTTTTTTTTTTTTAATGTACATCCAAAACATGTTATGAACTGTTGCGAAATATATGTATGGTGTAATAATAAATGCATTATTAAACGCTTAACTTGACTAATACAATTATTATTAAACTGCAATTTTATGTTTCGCGATGCATAACAATATTATATACAGTATGTATTGTCACGTAACGCGGCTTATGGAAAAATAGTTCTCCTAGACTAACGACCTTTTTCTAATGTCTAAATTATATTATTTATTTTCCACTAATGTAAACACCTTACCCCGGTAATCAGATTGTTATGGCGGTAATTGTGCATTAATTTTTCAAATATTCCAAGCCGTTCAAAAACAATATAGTAGGTACGTACAGAATGACGGAGGCAACAACAAGTACCGCAATACACGTTTATGCCAAAGTAAAATTCTACGGATTCACTTAGTTTTAACCTGCCAAGGCAAGTTTCGCAAATATAAACATTTGTGCCGGTTACACCATTAAACGGTCATTATAAGACGTTAAATAACAGTTTGTTTGTATTTTTCTTGAACACTTACACGGTAATGGATGCGCAAGTCTCGGTCGATCACCGGTACACACGGTGGGTGCAACCATTTATTAATTTTTCATTTTTTCCGTTTGTAAAATACAAATATTTTTTAATAATATTTAAAAATCTTACCGTTAGCCCATCGAGGTACGGTGACGAACAGCTTGTTTTTCCAAACTTCAATGCCGACGGGTAAATTGTTTTCCGGCACGAATTCGCCCCTTTCGAGCGCGTAGCTCTTATGTTCATCGCTGGCAAAAGTGTAATCCAAAGACGACCAGCTGAACAACTCGGTGAGCTTTTGTAACGCCGAAGTGCCGGCCAAAAAGCACGAGAGTACTGATAAAAAAAAATATAAAAAAACGCAGCACATTAAACGATGTATAAAATTGTTGTTGAATTTTTTTCCAATACAATAATATGCAGACAATAAAAATATATTATATTATGTCATATTCGTTTCGCTTACGGACTACCACGTTGCCTACTGAAGACATGATTGCGCTGCCACTGTGTATTGTACAGTTGATAGAATATAAAAATCGACTTAATTCTTAATTTAAAATTTGTGTTTATAAATTTTAGCACTATTTTTTTCTCGGATGTGGATAACCGAATGAACGGCCATGTGTCGTCGGCCGTTAATTTATAAACCCCGCCGCAGCCGAAACCGTGTAGGGTTATTAATGGTAAAGAGAGAAAGTGGGAATCTGGATGTCCATCACAATATCATATTATATACCTACACTTGGTATTAATTTATACCAGTGCACGACCGCTGACCAATCGTCGTAATCCAGTATGGGCTAACATTTCGCCACCAGATTAGCTGTAAGGTACAGAAACCCCATTTTTACAACACTATAATACATGATATCATAATTGTCTGTAACAATAATAATCACTATTGATTTTTTTTTATTTTGCGCTGCTATAAAAGATAAACACTAAAATAATAGAATATCATATCATATTATTAAATAATTAAAACAAAAATAAATAAAGATAAATTTAAAGTATTCAAATATATATTTATTATTTTATTTTTATGACTTTTATTATCATAACATACTAAATGAACTAACACCGAGCAATTTTTATTAACATGATAAAGCTAACTTTTAAGAAAAACTTGATATGATTAGTATTATTTTAATGCACTCCTCTTTAATAGTGATATTATTATTTTTTTTGTTAAACCAAAATCTTTATACTTCACTTTTGCTCTATTCATTTTTACTAATAAAATAAAAATTGTCATTGAAAAAATAACTTTATTGTGCTGTATAACTGAAGGTGAATAAGAGCAAGTGGAAATAAAAACAGTATGAACGAATTAAGTTGGGATTTATACTGGACGAATTTATTTAAATTAGATTAAACTGGCATTGAATTATACTTTTAAGTCGGTTAATACGAATGATAAAAGTATAAAATACTAAAAGCATCGACATTGCTACTGGTAAAAAAAAAGCCTGCGCAGCGGCAAAAGCTTTATTGTATTTTCCACTGACCTTAGTGCCAGTGGTCTTGTGAGAAATGGAAAAAAACGGGATTAATAAATATTTATGACTTTCCTCCTGGGAACAAATGAACAGGTGAGTTGGACGACAGCGAATATTTCCCTATATTGGTTTACATTAATGATTAATAACAATAATATTAAGGATTTAGAGAAAGAGAAAAAAAAAAAACGCTGTGTCATATCGTGAAAACTTATTAATTACCGCAACTAGTATTCATAAAAAAGACGGGTAGTTTTCCCATAAAAATTCTACATATTTTCATAAATGTGAAAAATAAGTTTTAAATGGGTTTTATATTCAATTTGCCTATAATTCAATTCAAGGGTGTCCATAAACGCAAACCATTATGTAAGGTATTGTATCTTTTAGACATTATAAATATTTGTAACTCATTTACCGTTTTTCATTTTTTACTTTTAAATGTATTCTAAAAATTCGGAAACTCAGTAAATAAGTTTTAGATTCGTCTCAGTTTTGGAAGTAAAGATACCTGAAATATCAGGTTTACGTAATGGAAGACACCCTGTATATTATGTAATCGTTTTCTATGTACTTATATAATTTTAGTATTACTTAAATGATGTTTTGAAAAAAAAAAATTGTAACGGTTAATAAATTTTGTTTATGTATTATACAACAACTATACTTGTGAATACTTTTTATGTAATTTAACAGTTTATTTATTTTGGGAATGTTTTCCCATCCGGTAGAAACCTGTTGATTAGATAGTAATATTTATAGATTAATTTATTATCATATTATTATATTTCTTTAAATAAATGATTTAATAAATAAATAATAAATTATTTAAACATTTTTTGGTTGTTAAAATTATAGTACAACTTTGAAAATTGATCTAGAAATAATTTGAGCAACTTATGGTTACATATTATAATAAAGAATATTTTCTTTAAATATTCTTTATTTGACTATAGAATTGTTTAAAAATAATTAATATGTTTATTACTAATTAGAAATTCGGAATAGTAAATAAAATAACGCAATATAATTTATAATACCATAAGCTAACAAATTTCATTAATTTGGTTGTAGTGGTACGTGCATTAAAGGTAGAAAAATATGATTAAAATGCAAATGTGTTTTATTCAGCTTACCGACACAGTAAGGTCCATGTCATACTTTGCCGGATGCTGTGTATAAATTATAATAAACACAAGCCACGTAAACCTGGTGAGGTGTCTTGTCAATGTAATACAACACGTATGAATAATGTGCGATCAATTGGCGGTGGGTCTCTTTGAGTGGCTTAACCGACATAGTGGGACTTGGCCCTAAGTCCTAAGTTGATAATACCGTGCAACATTGCGGAAATAATGGAATAAAACGGTTGTTGATGATTCGTTTTTTTTCCTTCAATATTTTGTTTAAAAAAATATTATTTTATTCTCTGGCGGATTCCTTACATCTTGTATTTATTTTGAGACTACTTGAGTGTAGAACCGAAAAAACGTGTTAGTACAATTATTACGGCTTTGTCAATCAATAATAATGAAATGTGTTATCGCCGTAAGGTGTTGTCGCATCTTAACACCCGTGATCTATTTGTATCAATCGTAACCTGCATACGATTCAGATTTAGCTGCAAACTAATGCGGTGCCGTCCGTCTTGGAATACTCGTATGTTCCACCAGTCTAAAACCAATGACATTTGATTCTATACGACAATATATTATGTAGTTACTTATATAGATAATAACATTTTAAATGGTTTTTGAGAAAAATTCGTTTTGATAAAAATACAAAAAGTTTCGATGAAAAATATTTCATTTATTATATTTATATGTACTCAACAATAATTTTGATAGGTACAAAATTGTCTGGTAAAATATTAATAATAACAATAGTTATTTGTTTGAATTTTTTTGTGAATTCACGTACAACGATAGATATAAAATCTAATATAAATGTATTTTAAATAAACATTTGGCAGCTTCGGTGTACTAAAACGCTATGCATGTCCTTTTGGTGAAACACAACACCTGCTGCTTTGGATTATGCTGCAGTGGTCACGTACGATTTCAACATACAACAGCGAGCGTAGCATTAGAGGTATATCGATGACGTTCGTTTGCGGTTGTCGCTTAGGTAAATAAACCCAGGAAAATGTGCTTAGGCGTACAACTGTACAATGTACATATTATACAAGTTATAAGCTGCCCAATATAAGTTTTAATTCAGTGGTGTACAACTTATTTGTATACAACTTACAAGAGATAGAATAGATTTGTTTTATCTATTACAAAGTCGCGTTAAGCATCACGTGTCTAGTGGTGTTTCGTCAGTATATGTTAAACTGGCCACGGTAAGCAAATATCTTTTGTTTAGTTATCATTTGAACTAAAAACTTAGATTAAGGTGAGTCACAATGCGTGTTAAGACGTCAAGAGTAAAAATTAACAGCAAACAATAATTATTGTAATAAAACATACATATTTCATTAGCGAGTAAACGGGTCTCTCAAGCAAAAGTTACAGCCTAATATCAATACTTAAAATTAGCTTCAAGATCATAATATGACGTATCAGTCTTTTAAATAGACAGTTTTTTTAAAACTAATATTAAATAATAGGTACAAAATAAAAAGTATAATTTAAAAAAAAAAAATTGGTTTTTCGGTAAATAAGTTAATATTGCTAATTAAAGTTATCTTAAAACAAGTGTCAAAAGTGTATACTGTGTGGTTAGATAATGTTAAAGTAAAATAAAACTAAAATGTATTTTAATTAAATACACATATATCCCATCAAACATTATGTAACTTACGTCTTACATACTACGTTTACTTTGGCTAAGCTTATGGAAAAATAAATAATTATCCTTCTCAGATAAGGTTTTGGCGTTAACCAACGTTTTCTATTGTTCAAACTAAAACTTTATCGTCTTTCCTATAACGAATCAATGGCCCAATGATACCTACGGGAAGGTATTCATCCTAGAGGGCTAGGCCGCACCAACCGTAAGCATGAAAGTCAGATTGTTACGCTAAACAAGATACTTAAAATGTCTCTTTGTTTGGTTTTGCCACTTGGGAGAACTACACGTCTTACTCCACCTTATCTCGAATAGAACTTTAACAACACACATTATATTGAATTAGAAACTAATATTATAATAGTCAATATAATAAATTACAACGTTAAACGAATTTATTCTTAAACTAAACAATTCACGGTTAGAGTCTCAAATCAGAAAGTACAGACAAGTGTGATACAACTATACAAGATACATTTTTGGAAAAATTGAGGTAGTATAAAGAAAAACACCACATGTTATGCAATGAGTTTTATGAGAAAGTTATAATATGTATATTTTGCAACAAAAAAAAAATCTTATTGAAAATTTTTATAATATTATGTTTTAATTAAATTTTACTGCGGCAATTATAAGGCAAATATGTCAAATAAAGAAAGTTGACTAAAGCCAGGATTTTGGTTCGACTGTTTGTGCATACTGCATGGTATGTATAATTAATAATAATATCAATAGTATAATCGACGGTTCAAGTTGACATGGAAAAACAAGTTTCATATTATAATATTGGCCTTTCGACTACGCCCTAATCGTATAGATGTGTTAAGTTTACAAAATCCTACGCGAAAATAGTATGATATTTTACTGAACATTTTATAATCATGCCTAGGTTTCGAAATGTGATTTTTTCTATTGGTCTTATTTATAAATATATCGGATGAATATTAGTTTCAACGTTCACTACCGAGTTTTGTGATGCAATTTTTGTAACTTTGCACACTCGATAACATTATCGAAACCGATGGAACGAATCTTTTACACATAGTTGCAATCTTACTCTATGAGAAACACAAACCAAGCACATATTGCTAATACTCTAGCGATGGAGTTGTTAAACAAATAAATCGAGTTAAAAAAAAAAAAAAACTGAGTACGAGGTCATAGTTGACACTGTGTAGCTAATAGGTACTTTTAAAGTATGTGAGTTGTTGTCTCTTCATTGAACGTATTTACTTTGTAAATCAAAATATGTAATTATATTATAACGCTGAATACCGTGGAGTCACACATTCCAAGCTGATCCTCTTTGAAGTTCTAAGGATTTTAATTACGTATTTAGTACATT